GCAAAGATCCTCCTGCCTCAGCCTCCTGAGTGCTGGGATTATAGCCTTGCACCACCACGCCTGGCACTTGTTAAATTCTTTGAGCTTCCCAATTTCCTTAGTTATGCAGTTACTTTGAAGTGCCAGGGATCAAACTCAGGACCTTGGGCATGCCATAGTAGCACTTCACCATTAGGCTACACCTTGGTAAAACAGGCTGAAAAACAGCAGCTGTATCCTCAGAGCCCCTTAAGAGGTTCCATGAAATGTGTCACCTGGCGAATTCACTGTTGTATGAACATCACAGAGGGTGCTGAGAGCAGACAGGACACGTCAGTCACTTGAAGCCGCCTCTTGATGCAGTCATGACACCGTGAACACAAACTGTCTGAGGCTGCTGCTGGTGTAACTTGCCACACCATTTCACCGTCACCCTTTTTTCATAGTGTTACCAAGTAACACAGAAAAGTATAGTACAGTAACTACAGATACCAGTAACGGAGGCATGTAGAATGTTATCTCGTTATCAAGTATGCTTGTTATTTACACCAGACAAACATATTTTGCTACCAAGTCAGATGGCTGTGACACTGTCCCTAGGCAACAGCAGTTTTTAGCTCTACAATAATCTTTTTCACTTTTCTTTTGTGATACTAGGGATTGAACTCAGGGCCTTCACACTGAGCTATATCCCCACCCTTTATATTTTTTTAATTTTTATTTTGAGACAGGCCCTAAGTTCCTAATCTGCTCAGATTGGGCTCAAACTTGTGATCTTTCTGCCTCAGCCTCCCACCACACCTGTTTTCCCATTATAATCTTATAAAACCACCATCATTTATGCAGTCCACTATTGATTAAAATGTCATTGTGCCACACATGACTATAAAATACACCGTGCCTATATTTAATGACAGAACCATTCATATAAACATAGTTTGGGATCTGATGAGGGCAAAAAAAAAATCGTGGTGCACACCCATTATCCCAGCACTAGGGAGGCTGAGGCAAGTGGATCTCTGCAAGTTCAGGGCCAGCCTGAGTTATATAATGAGTTTAAAGGGAGCGTAAACAACATAGTGAAACCCTGTCTCAAAAAAAAAAATGCATGCGACCTGGGAGAGGGAAAGGAAAGAAAGATTTCACAAGGGACTAGGGTCAGGTTTTGTTTTTGTTCTTTAATCAAGTAAGGTCAGGTTTTTAAAGGATGAATGAGAGGGAATTTAAAACATGTAGAAATAAGCCAGGCATGGCAGCACACTCCTGTAATCCCAGCACTCAGGAGGCTGAAGCAGGAACAGCCTGCAAGTTCAAGGCCACCCTGGACTACACAGTGAGTTCAGGGGCAGCCTGGACTACCTAGTGAGACCTTGTCTCAAAAAAACCAAAATAAATAAATAAAAAGACACAGGACTAGGGGGCTAGGAATGTAGTTCAGTGGCATAAGTGCCTACCTGGCAAGCACAAGGTCCTGAGTTTGATTCCCAGTACCAAAAAAAAAAAATCTCAAAAAGATACAGAAGTAGATTCCGCGTGGGAAGGAAGAACAGTATGCAAAGACACGGACACACAGTACATCCCAGAAAGAGCAACCAGCTGGAGAACGAGGGTGGACGGAGGCTGTGGGAGGGGCCAAGGCACAGAAACTGAGGACCAAGGACTGAGCCAGAAGCGGGGCCAGACGCAGCAATAAGAGGAAGAAAGTTTTGCTGGGAGTGCAAAGACGCTGCCACCCAGACCGGACCCGACCAGACTCGGGTAGGGGTCACTGACCTCGTGAAGTAGGGATTAAAAGGGAACAGACTCTAGAAGCCTTTCTGGGCCCCGTCGAGGAGAGGTACCAGCCCGGGTGCCCCGGCTCTCACCTGATATTGTCGACCCAGCAGTCAATGATGACCGGCAGCAGAAGTTCAAGGTTCAGCCAGAGCGTGAAGTAGCTGTCAGTCTTTTTGAAGCAAAGGTAGTGCACAACCGTCGGCTTGTCCAGCTTTGCTTCTAGCTGGTTGCCCAAATCACCAGGCACTGCAGGGGGACAAAGGATATGTGTGAGAGCTGCGCCTGGCAGGCTGCAGAGCCCCCCCAAAGTTCTCAGAAGATTCCCCAGCCACGGATACCACAGCAGACGTTGCAGTTCCACTCTGCAAATTAAAACACAGTGCCAGCCGGGCATGGTAGCGCACGCCTGTAGTCCCAGCACTCGGGAGGCTGAGGCAGGAGGATGATTGCAAGTTCGAGGCCAGCCTCAGCTACAAAGTGAGCTCAAGGCCAGCTTGAACTGCATAGTGAGACCCTATGTCAAAAAGACACAAAAAAAAACAGTGCCAAGGGCAGGAAAATTAGAGAACAAGGCCCTGACAGTGCCAGGACACCAACTTCAGGCAGAAAAGCTGCTAATGCGGTAGGGCACAGAGTGATTAATGAGAAGGAAGCCTGAGGGCACATACTCTGCAGGGGGCTTGGGAGAGCCTGATTAACACTCTCCCCAGCTCCAGACAAAGTATCCCAGTACCCATGGACTGGAGGCACACACCTGTAATCCCAGCACTCCTGGGCTGAGGCAGAAGGACTGCCACAAATTCAAGGCCAGCCTGTGCCCCTTAGTGAGCTCAAAGCCAGCCTGAACTGCACCGTGGAGACCCTGTCTCAAAAAACAAACAAACAGAAAAGCAGCCCACTACAACTAAATCTTCACTGGAACACGGTCCTGGGCCATTGAGATTACTGGAAGGGGGCTCAGGATGAAGTCACTTCCCCTCCCTAGGCTTCAGTTACGTTATCTATCAATGAGATCTTAGCCTGAATCAACCTTCACAAACACACAGATGGTTTCTTTGGTTAACAGACCCCGGAGAGCTCTGACTAGGAGGGGCTTGGAAACACTTCTGGGTTTTCCAGAACCCCTAAAGTCTGTCAGAGCTCAGTGTGGTGGCGCACGCCTGTAATCCCAGCCTTAGGAGGCTAAGGCAGGAGGATCCTCCCGAGTTGGAGGCCGGCCTGGGCTACAAAGTGAGTTCAAGACCAGCCTGAGGGCTGGGGATTTAGCACCTCAGTAAAGCGCCTGCCTGTCAAGCGCAAGATCGTGAGTTCGATTCCTGGTACTGGAAGAAAATACAAAAACAAAAACAAACAAGACTAGCCTGAACTGCACAGTGGGACCCTGTCTCAAAGAGACAAAAAAATAAAATAAATTAAAAATAAACTCTGGCAGAACTACAGCCCTGACGTTAGCTATACACCTTCAAGAATTGAACCCAAAGGCTTTGTACCCATAGCCATTACAGGTGACAAAAAAATAAATAAATAGCCAGGTGTGGTGGCGCACACCTGTAATCCCAGCACTCGGGAGGCTGAGGCAGGAGGATCATTGTGAGTTTGAGACCAGCCTGAGCTACAAAGTGAGCTCAAGGCCAACCTGAACTGCGTAACGAGACCCTATGTCCAAAAGCCAAATAAATAACTAAATAAATAAATAAATACATAGACAGACAGGGCCTTATTCACTCTGAGAAAGGAAGTGGGAAACTGGACGGAGTCCTGAGTCACTGAAGTAGCCGGAATTGAATCCAGAGAAAGTATTTTTGCACAGGCTTGTGGGAGGGAGGCCCTGAAGAGAAACACTCTGAGAGAAGCTTAAACTGGTACCTGCCAACCTACCAAAGTCCCTACCACTTGCTAAAGACCAGAGCTCAGTCAAGTTCCAGAGGGGTGGGGGCTGGGGATTTAGCTGAGCTGCATAGCGCCTGCCTGGCAAGCACAAGGTCATGAGTTCGATTCCTGATTCCAGAAGAAAAACAAAAACAAAAAGTTCCAGGGGGCTGATGATGGGGGGTGGGGCTTGGCCTGGCTGACAGGGTGTGTTTGATATGGCTGCTCTGAAATAGTACCTCATTGTACCACAGCCACTTTAGGGGGTGGGTGGGACCAGACCACAAGGATGACTTGACTCTAGCCCAGATAACTCCGCTGTCTACACAGAGCCCTGGGGACCTGTGATGTACACAGCACACTCATCCCACTGCTTCCCTGCCTAGCATTCAAAACCCTTCATAGTCTATTTACTCCCATTAACCTTTTAGGCACACCTACCCTACAAGACAGGCTCTTTTTTTTTTTTTTTTTTTTTTTTTTTTTTGAGACAGGGTCTTGCTATGCAGTCCAGGCTGGCCTTGAGCTCACTTTGTAGCCTACGCTGGCCTCAAACTCCCAATAATCCTCCTGCCTCAGCCTCCCAAGTGCTGAGATTACAGGCATGTGCCACCACGCCCAGCTCAAACTAG